CAGCATTTGAAGAAGCAGTGTCTCTCCACCTCTTCAGGACCCATCTTTTCCACTTACCAAGGTCCAGGTGACACAGAGACAGCATTCCTTTGTCTGCCCTCAGCAGCATCTAGGTCACTAATGCTGGGTCAGGCAACTTCCACCCAGTTATCCAGGACCTAAACATGATGTTACTTGGATATCTTGGCTGAGGCAGTGGCAATATGTTAAACTGCGCTCAGGAATGTTCCCAGGCACTGGAAGGTGATGCTCAGTTCTGCTAAATTGCTTGAGTGGCCCTGGCATGTTTTTGGCCCATGCAAACTTGTACTCCTCCCAGGCAGGGTTCAGGAGCCAGAGCACTCCAGCAGCCACCCCAAGCAGCAGTCACCCTCTCATAGCAGGATGAGGGGCTGCTCAAAAAGCTCAGGGCTCTTTCATGCCAGGTGGCCTCAGTGCCAGAGATCATTCCCAGGCATGTTCAATTTACTAGTACAGACAGAGCCTTTGAGACTTTCCCAGGTCAAAGCTGATCACTCAGGTATGCTTGACGGAGCCACACTCAACCCTAATGAGCCGATTCCTTTCTAATAATTCAAGGCATTTAGTATTCATACTTACTGTGAGTAGAGCGAATGCCTCGCAGGTGTCTATTTTACAGATTATCAGCTATTTTAAATCTAAGAATAATTTTCTATTTTAAATTCTCACCATAAACATCAGACCTCCAGTATGAGAAGTCTTCGCCATTCAGAGGCAAGCAAAAGAGTTTGAATTCAGGACCAGACGAAAGTCCTCCAATAAGTAACTGGACACCCTAGCATGACACCAGTGAGTCACTCTACAGAGGTCTGTTCATGTCCGGTGCTGCTGTAAGCATCCCAGGCCCTGGTGAAATCCAAATGGAAAAATAAAGCACCAAGGTTACTGTCCAGCAAAGAGTTTGCAATGGGCACTGTAACTGATTCAACCATTTCCTGTTCTGTGGGAAGGCTGATTTCTTCCAGTATCCTTCACATTTCAAGATTCTCTGTGACAAGTGTCCCACTCCCCCAGCCAAGAGCGATTGCAAAGGCCTCAAACACCAGTTAACTGAGCAGTGCCGAGGCCTGAAAGTCACTTAATAGTGTGACCCTGACTCTTTGGGGCAAATAAACACCCCAAGAAACCTGTGACTTTCAGGGGCAGCTGCAGGAATTTTAGCAGAGGTAGATTAGAAGATTTCAGAAAACTTAAATCTAGCA